ATCACAAAAGGAAGAAAGGAATACTTCCAGAAAGGACTGTGAACTTGAAATTTGACTTACATCTCTGAATACTGGGACTGTATATAATTTACAACGTATTTATGCCCCTCATCATGCTGAAAAACTAAACATAACTAAATAGGAGACAAGAGGAGATTTAGATTCCATTTTATTTAAAACGATTGGGAATGAGCAAATGATTGAGTCTAAAAGTGAGCTACGTGGAAGTGGGAGGAGAAGGAAAAGAATTTCTTACATTGTATTAATTTTTATAGTTTACAGATTGAGTGCATGTCCTATTTCACATAGGATGCTTCCCACTGCCAGATTTTGTAGGCCAGTGTGGTACGATGGATCACTTTTATATGGCCTTTCTCACCATGGTCTTGTTAACTCCTACCAAAAGACTGGGTGGGACTGTGCAAATGAGGGCTTGTGGCCCACCAAGGGGATTGGATAGCTTTCTAATAATGTAAATAAGGTGCATGGCACCTTGTAGGGGGTAGAACCATGCAAGTAAGGTGTATGAAACTCTAACAAGGGGAATGGTCAGTTTTGCCATCTCGCTAGGCTTAAAATGACCCATCCCAGAGGTGGGAAGGGAGGATCTCACCACCTTCAAGAAAGAAGAGCCAGGAGTGGAGAGCAGTCTTTGGTCCTGGGATCCTGGTGCCGAGAACCTTCTAGATCCAGGAGACAGAGAGAAGGAACTAACGTGGAAGACAGCAAGAGATGGCAGCGCAAGATGGCAGGAACGAGGAGATCAGCTTGAGATAGCTGCAGTGGACTTCCTGGCCCACAGAGGAGGAAAGCTGAACACCTTCAGGCATGAGGCTTACTGGCAGAGCTAAAAGAACTTTGTAACACTTACCTGAGCAGGGCAGAGGCCGGGCCGAGGGGTGCGAGGCCAAGGGGCCACAGAGAGGTGTGCCTTTGGGCACAGCTGAGAAGAGGTGGTCCTGATCGAATAACTGTATGCTGAGTGTTCCTGAACCTGAATTGTAACCTGTTACTTCCCTAATAAACCCCATAATTGTAAGTATTGCCTGTGAGTTCTGTGTGGCCATTGCAGTGAATTAGTGAACACAGCAGAGAAATAGAGAATGCTTTGGGAGAGATGGTTGGTGTCAGAATTAGTAAAAAGGCATCAGGATGGAGGCATGCCTGACCTCGGGTTCATAGGAATCAGCCTTGGACTGTTTGTTATCTTGATTCTCCTTCCCCTTGTAAAGTTAGAGGAGGTGAGACACCACCCCCACAACATTTTAACAGCCTGACAAGTCCTGGAAGAGCCAATACTAGAATACATATCTGTGACTAAAACCTAATTTAAGGAGTGCCTGCCACATACAGGGCACTGTACTGGAGACTTAGAGATTGACAGAATGGTTCTTACCCTTGAGGAACAATCTAGACACATATCTATATTTGGAGACTCATCACTGGAGACATGTGTCATTTCCTTGTGACAGATCTACTGCCAGGCCATCCCTTCATTACTTTACAGAGGCAATTTGTCTTCCACTTTTCACTGCCAGGCCCTGAACTACCATCTCTGAGTTGGTATTGCTCTAGCTTTGTTCTTTGTTTTGGAAATAGATGCCAATCTATTATAGTGTGTTTTCTAATTCCAGAATTTCCATTGGTTCCTTTTTTTTTTTTTTAACAGTTTCTTTGATGATGTTTCCTATTTTTTCATTCATTTCAATGAAATATTTTCATTGCTTCATTGAACACAGTTGTGATAAATTCTTTAAAATCCCTATCTGCTAATTCCAATGTCTGGGTCATCTTGGGGTTGGTTTCCACTGATTGTCTTTTTTTCATGATTCAAACGATTTTGGATTGTATCCTGGACATTGCTGGGCTGTGAACACTCTGAATTTTGTTATATCCCTCCAAAGAGTGTTGATGATTTTGCTTTAGCAAGCAATTAATTTGGTCAAACTGAAAACTGTCTCTCTTGAACAGAAGCTCAAGTCTCACTTCATTTCTTTTATTTTTAGCACAGCTGATTTAAATCTTCCCCATACCTGCATGGTTCAAGGATCATCCAAAGACTAGGGCAAAATTTACCTAGAATTTGGGGCTCCGCCTCTCTGGCTTTCCCTTTTCTGGGATTCTCTTCTTACTCTCCAGTGACTGTGGTTGCCCTGAACTCTGCCACTGGCTCTTCAGGCCAGAAAGACTGCAGGTTTTCTGAGTTTTAGCCGTCCTATGTGGCACTGACTTGGCCTTCTCTCAGGCTGAAATATATAGAAAACAGGAAACTCACCGAGTGCCATCCATTCTTCCAAGATCACTCTCACCTCTCCACCCTACCCCGTGAACCTAAGAGCCTTCAAGTCATTGATTTTTTTCCCTAGAGTTTGTAGTTTTTATCTGAGAGATGACTGGGTCTGGTAGGACCTTATAGAGCCATACCGCAAGTGGAACTATCTCTTTTACAGGATTATTCCTCTCTATGTAAGTTTTCATTTGGAGTGGTTCTATTGTTGAAAAACAAAACCAAAAGTTTGGAAACTCCCTGTACTTATACAACTTCCCACCCATTTTTAAATCTTCTATCATTATTTCTAAGTGATCTGCATGTCCAGTCTTTGCTGTGAACATTCTCATTGATAGAGACCTCTCCCATTTTCCTCTGTGGTTTATCTCCTCCCTCCTCAACTTCCCAGGATTCAGCAAAGGCTCTTTGTCCATGTCTCCTCAATGGCAGCATTTTACCAGAACTCCTTGAAAAGAAAAGCTGGTTGAATTCCAGCTACTAAATGTTGCATTTCTTTGATGAATATTTTAAATGGATATTTTTCATAGAAGAGGGTGATACAAGGAGAAAATTAGGAACTGAGTCTTTTGACATCTGGTTGATACTCAAAAGAGCCTGGTTGGACTGGCGCCTGCCTTGATGCATGTAGCATTCTAGCATTGAACTGAGGAAGGCTGTCTGCCTGGTGTGGGTGTCCCAGAACATCTACTGCTCTGCTGACCTGCTGGTGAAGGAGACGGGATGATGACTGAGAGGTGGTAGGTGCATTGTGGTTGTATTTGGAGATAACCTAAGAGACTGCAGTTTTGACCTAAATATGGTGAGAGACTTGAGGCATTCCACTATATAAACAAGAGTCCCTGAGTGGTGCAGATGATTAATACACTCAGCTGCTAACCAAAAGTTTGGAGGTTCAAGCCCACCCAGAGGATCCTTGGAAGAAAGGCCTAGCAATTTACTTCCCCAAAATTCAGCCATTGAAAACCCTGTGGAGCACAGTTCTACTCCGACGCACTTGGGGTCAACGTAAGTTGGAATCAACTCAACTGCAACTGATACTATGTAAACAAACTAAAGATAATAAAGGAAGATTACTGTCACATGACACATGGATAATGGCCATGGAATTGGGAGCCCGGGTCTTGCTTTGAATTTGCCTCTAGCTCCATAACCGTTAAGAAGTTCCCTCAAGATGAAATGGAATGGTGGGTAAATTGCCTCCATGAACAATGGCCTCCTTTGCCATAAGACCAGAAGAACTGGATGGTGTCTGGCTTCCATTACTGAATGTTTTGATCAAAGATTCTAAACACTCTCTCTTCACTTACTGACGTGGTTAGGTTCCAAAGACCAGATTGTTATGCAAAATCAGCATTATGTGAAAATGGAGGATGACTACATCAGATCACAAAATGGAGGATGATTACATCATTACGTAACTGCCAAACCACTGAGGCTCATGGTCCAGCATAGTTGACACATAACCTTAACCGTCAAAGCACCTTGGCATTTGTTACTGCCAGACATACATCACTAATATGCAGAATAGTCAGATAGTATATTTTTACTGTGTTGTAAATGTGAACTGTTGGATAACAAGATAGTCAATAAGCGAGGAGAAGGTGTAGAAGAATTCTGATCAAAAGGAAGAAAATGCAGAACATAATTTCGAGTTCTCATAGAATGCAGACTTTATAGAGCCGTTGAGGCTGGATGAACTCCCAAAACTATTGCCCTGAGATAATCTTTAAACCTTAAACTGAAAATATCCCCTGAAAGCTTCCTTAAGCCTAACAGTAGCCTAATTAGTAACGAATGCCTGCCTTGAGCATTGTGTTCTTTTAAGATCTATCTATATGGGATCAAACTGACAACAGCAACTCAAAAGATAAGATGGGAACGTTAGGGGGCAGTGAGTTTATGTTAATGGGGGAGGAACAACTCAGAAAAGGAAGGTGAGAATGACTGCACAACTTGAAGAATGTAATCAGTGTCACTGAATTGTATGTGTAGAAATTGTTGAACTGGTGAATGTTCTGCTGTGTATATTCTCAACAACAACGTAAAATAATAATAAAAAAAAAGAAGTCTCCTCAACTTTTTATATGGATTTTTCCGTTGGAAGGGATGGATGTCATGGATGGTTGCAAACTGAATAGAGAAATGTGCATGTGGAAGTATATGAAGGAGAGAGAAGAAGGTCAAGTGCTTGTTAAATAAGCTGCAAGTGATTTGTTGGTTATAGATGGTGGCTGCCCTGGTGGCATAGTGGTTAAGAGCTTGGCTGCTAACCAAAAGGTTGACAGTTTGAATCTACCAGCCACTCCTTGGAAACCCTCTGGGGCAGTTCTACTCTGCCTGTAGGGTTGCTATGAGTTGAAATTGACTCGACGGCAACAGGTAAGTATAATAAAGAAAGCACTGGTTTTTTTCATCATGTCAGGTGTTCGCGGCCTTTCTTGATGTCTTCAGGTACACCTCTGAAAGTCTGTCATTCACCTTCATCCCTCTGAGGAACAGAGTTTTAAAAGTGTTTACTTGTGTCAGAAAAAAAGTGTACAATATTTGGAGTTAGCAATTTCTCTAATAAAGTCTGTAATCCATTGGCACATCCCCTGCTCTTTGCCACCTGCTCTCCTAGTAAGAAACAAAAAATAAGCAAAAGTTAAATGAACTTTCTACTCATCTTTTTTGCCTTTTCAATTTATTCATTTTTAATTTTATTTTTCAGACTCAAAAGCAGAAATTGCTACTGCAGTACCCCGCTCATTTCTTGTCAGGAGTTATGTTGGTGATTTTGAAAAAATCTCACACGAGGAGTTTGAGGAGAAAAATGAAACCAAGTTACATGAAGACAGATTAATCTCCGTCAATAAAAGTCATCCTCTTCAGAAACCACCCTCTGTGTTCATCTCAGAAGAAGCCTCAGGTTATCTGACTAGCCCCTGGCTGACTGTCTTTATCCCCGCCATTTACACTGGTGTGTTTGTAGTGAGCCTTCCTCTGAACATCATGGCCATCGTCGTGTTCATCGTGAAAATGAAGATCAAGAAGCCGGCTCTGGTGTACATGTTACATCTGGCCATGGCAGATGTGCTGTTTGTGACTGTACTCCCCTTTAAGATCAGCTATTACTTTTCTGGAAGTGACTGGAAATTTGGGTCTGAAATGTGTCGCTTCGTCACAGCAGCGTTTTACGGTAACATGTACGCCTCCATCATGCTCATGACAGTCATAAGCATTGACCGCTTTCTGGCTGTGGTGTATCCCATGCAGTCCCTCTCCTGGCGCACCCTGGGGAGGGCTTCCTTCATTTGTCTGGCCATTTGGGCTGTGGCCATCGGAGCGGTGATGCCCCTTGTCCTCAAGGAGCAAACCACCCAGGTTCCGGGCCTCAACATAACCACCTGTCATGATGCGCTCAATCAAACCCTGCATGACAGCTATTACACATATTACTTCACAGCCTTCTCTGCTGTCTTCTTTTTTGTGCCGTTGAGCATTTCCACAGTTTGTTATGTGTCTATCATTCGATGTCTTAGCTCTTCCAAAGTTGCCAACCGGAGCAAGAAGACCCGGGCTTTGTTCTTGTCAGCTGCTGTTTTCTGCGTCTTCATCATTTGCTTTGGACCCACGAATGTCCTCCTGATTGTGCACTACTCTCTCCTTTCTTATAATTCCTCAGTGGAGGCTTTCTACTTTGCCTACCTCCTCTGTGTCTGTGTCAGCAGCATAAGCTGTTGCATTGATCCCATGATTTACTATTATGCTTCCTCTGACTGCCAGAGGTACCTCTGCAGTATCTTATGCTGCAAAGAAAGCTCTGATCCCAGCAGTTACAACAGTAGCGGGCAGTTAATGGCAAGTAAAATGGATACCTGCTCTACTAACTTGAATAGCAGCATATACAAAAAGCTGTTAACTTAGGAAAGGGGACTGCTGTTAGGTTAAAAAGAAAAGATGAAAGAAAAGCAGATACCCTGAGGATTCTATCAGTCCCTGTAAATAAGTGTTTACTTCGTCATCTAAAACAACAAATGTATTATTTGCATGCCTCTTTCTTACAAGAGTGATTGCGCATATATGTTTGTTCACAGGAAAAGATAACAGGAATAGAAGACAGAGTTATTCAGAGGGAGTTTTGCCAATGCTACAGTAATAGCTGAATGTTACTTTTTTATATATATTTAGGTGATACATATAAATATATGCAGTACAGTATAGAATAGGCACTTTGAAAACCTCTTTTTCTCAGAGAATATGGGAATAATCTCTGATTTAATACGCAGAGTCTAGGTTGCTCAGGTTTAGTCCTGAACACCTGAAGATGTTTATCAGTAGTGACAGATGTCATAGTTGGGACTTATACGGCTTTTGCAAATAAGTATATTTTGAAATTGTTCAACAGCAGTGTTTAAGTTATTAAGAGATAAGACAGTACTGTCTGTGTGTAGAAAAAGCTCTAGTGTTTTTTATTTTAAACATATCGAAGTCTGAATTCTGAAAATTATTACAACAGATGAAAAACCCTCTTTTTGGCATGCACAGCATTTTTGATGTTTTGCACGTTGTATGTGTAAACCAAGAATGAGCATACGTCCACTTAGGGACCTTAGATTGGCTTTCGGAGACACCCACCCTTGGGAGTTGCGCTTGTTCACCCTGCTCGGTCTGACGCAGGATGCCAAGCAGCAGACACACACAGGGCCTTGTCAGGAACCCTCCAGCTGGAGATGCTGGCAGTTTCAGCTCAGCGTCCCAGAGAGCAGAGCGCTGGGAACCACCACATTCGCTCCACTCTCCAGGTGTTTCCCCCCAGGGTTGGCTGTGAACTCAACATGTTTATTAAAAATTGGAAGTGATATCCTAGGAGGTGATGAACATGAAAGACTTCTCTACCTTTTTTCAGAACAAACAAAGAAGGAGCATTCACTTCCAGTAGTTACCCTACAAAGGTCAGTTCTCACATGGAAACACTATGGCGCAAACATGAGAATTTATAACAGCATTTCTAACCCCACAATGAGTATCAAGTACACAAAAATCCTCACTGATATGACAAAATAATTTGAAAATTAGGTTGCAATGTATTTTTGTTTTCCTTACGAAAAAAAGGAGGCATTTGTTAAACGAAAAAAAAGGAAAATTGCGAATGTTTACCTATTTAAAAGAGCAAACTATTTCCAAATACCATAGAATAATTTACATCAAAGTAATATAACTGTACTATAAGTTGAAACACTGATTTTATTAATTTAGTTACTATATTCATTTCATCCGAAGCAGTGGAATTTCATTGTTATTGTTTATTCAGTCTATACATATTAAAATACCTCTGACTTAATATGACTATTATTACTGTACTATCACTCTGTACTTATAAAATATTATGTCACTGTTTTTATGTTCTCTCTTTTTTAAATTTCTTGTAGCCTATGTTAATAAACTTGAAAGTTTGCTTCAGTTCTGTTTAAAACAATTATTGTGTCTTGCAGGACCCTGGCAAGATGGCACATTTTTAAGGGTTTAACTGAAGGGTGTTTAATGAAGAGGCAATTTACAGAGGTGTGGACAGGGTTAAGGGAACCAAAGGATGGTGAAGCACGCCAAACCCCCCAGAAAACCAAACCCATTGCTGTTGAGTCGTTTTCAACTCATAGTGACCCTAAAGGACAGAGTAGAACTCCTCCATTGGATTTCTAAGGCTGAAATGTTTACGAAAGCAGACTGCCACATCTTTCTCCCACAGAGCAGCTAGTGAGTTCAAACCACTGACCTGTTGATTAGCAGCTGAGTGCTTTAACCACTGTGCCACCAGAGCTCCTGTGAAGCACCCTAGGGGCTAGCAATTAGGGGAAGCTGGCAGCCCCTAGGCCCAAGAAGGTTGAGAGAACACACTGACCCCATTTCCCCCATTCTCTGATCTCATCTGTGCCTCCCATTGCTCGTAATCTTAACCAAAATCCAGAGATGAATGAAAAATTATTTCTGTTTAGCAAGTATTCTGTTAACAGAGAATTTTTAAGTGAACACAGAAGTTTTTAAGTTTCTGAAGCCTGGTCCCCTCTGACCACAAGTATTTCAGGAATGGATAGTGAACGAAGTCAGCTGGTCTTCTCTGCTCATGGCCATCAGATATAGAATACCAACTCTAACCAGAGAGTGACCTTTAAACTCTTCTATTACTATTTTTTTCAGAATAAACACATTTGAATTAAAAAAAAAAAAATACACTTGAATTTTCTTGACACACAAAAAAAGTTTGTTTTTTTCCACTGAGTCAAAAATAGCATTTTTAGGAAATGGAATAATTGGCTGTCAAATATACACTTGGACAATTTTACGTTATACTTCCAGATTTAAGAAATTAAGAAAAATGTTGACATGTTCTGTAGGAAGCCTTGAGCGCCAACAAGTGGAAAAAGTTAAGCAGTGTTTACGACCAAGTTTTTTAAGTCCCTAATCCTGGACCCTCAGCTAGGACTTATCTTCACATCGGTGCCATGGTGAGAATTAAGGGGAAAAACAAGGTCACCAATTTCCTTTCTTGGTACACATCATAGTGTGGCTGTGCCTTTTAAAATTACTAGACCAAATGTACATGGAGATAAATGTGTTTACAAAGGAGGTGCTATTACATAAGCTGAGAAAAGCGGAGAAATGCTCTTATGCAGTGATTCTCAGAGTCCCTGTTGCTGTTGTTAGGTGCCATCAAGTCATTTCCGACTCATAGCGACTCTATGTACAACAGAAAGAAACACTGCCCCGTCCTATGCCATCTTTGTAATTGTTGTTATGCTTGAGTCCATTGTTGCAGCCACTGTGTCACTCCATCTCGTTGAGGGTCTTCCTCCTTTTTACTGATCCTCTACTTTACCAAGCATGATGCCTTTCTCCAGCAACTGATCCCTCCTGATAACATGTCCAAAGTATGTGAGACGAAGTCTCACCATTCTTGCTTCTAAGGAGCATTCTTGCTGTACTTCTTCCAAGACAGATTTGTTCGTTCTTTTGGGGGTCCATGGTATATTCAATATTCTTTACCAACACCATAATTCAAAGGCATCAATTCTTCGATCGTCTTTATTCATTGTCCAGCTTTCGAATGCATATGAGGTGATTGAAAGCACCATGGGTTGGGTAAGGCGCACCTTGGTCCTTAAAGTGACATCCTTGCTTTTCAACACTTTAAAGAGGTCTTCTGAGGCAGATTTGCCCAGTGCAATGCATCATTTGATTTCTTGACTGCTGCTTCTGTGGGTGTTGATTGTGGATCCAAATAAAATGAAATCCTTGACAACTTGAATCTTTTCTCTGTTTATCATGATGTTGCTTATTGGTCCAGTTGTGGAGATTTTTGTTTTCTTTATGTTGCGGTGTAATCCATACTGAAGGGTGTAGTCTTTGATCTTCATCACTAAGTGCTTCAAGTCCTCTTCACTTTCAGCAAGCAAGGTTGTGTCATCTGCATAACGCAGATTGTTAATAAGTCTTTCTCCAGTCCTGATGCCCCGTTCTTCATATAGTCCAGCTTCTTGAATTATTTGCTCAACATACAGATTGCATAAGTATGGTGAAAGGATACAACCCTGAGGCCCTTTCAAAGAAAGGTCAAAACTTAGTCTAATAACACTAAGATAGTATTTGGCCTTTTTCAGTCTCATTCTCTCTGGAGTGTACCTACAGTGGAATTTTCCAGAGGCTCCATGACGTGGTAGTGCAACAGATTGAATGCAGATACAGATATGAAAATCTGACTATCTTCTATTAAGTTAGCCATTAAAGAGATTTGCAATAAGGTACAACAATGCAATTCATCTCATCAAGTTAGTGTTTTAGAAATAATTATTTTTTGTAAAAAGATGTTATTTGTGTTAACAGGTAATGACTTTGTTGTTATTTTTAACTGAAATAGCAAATATTTCAAAAGTTCTCCATTGTAATGTCTAACATGGTAAATATCGATAGAGATAACCAGCGGTGTGCTGGTAAATCAGTTCTCCAGGAAAAAAAAGAAAAGCCCCAACTGGTAGTGTTTGCCAATTTTCATGGTGTTAAGACTCCCACCAGGATCTTTGGAACCCCCACAAGCAGCACTTGGCTGCTAACGCCCAGCATCTGTAGGAGAAAGACCTGGTGATCTGATTCTGTAAAGATTACAGCCTAGAAAACCGGATGGGGTAGTTCTACTCTGTCACATAGGTCTATATGAGAGGAAATAGACTCAAAGGCACACAGCAACAACAACAAGACTCCCACCACCGGCAGTTTCGCATTTCCAACTGTTTAACTGTTGCCTTGAAAAATTCCTGACTATTTAATTCTAATGAGCTGGTACAAGCTGATGTAATTTTTAAGAGTATTAAGGGATTGTGAGAGCAAAAAGTGTGAGAACCACTGCTTTCATGCAAGACTTCCCAACTTTCATCCCTTCAAGAAGACAGAAACCAATAATAATTATAAAGCACACAGGGGTAAACAGAGTTGGCTCACAGCTGCAGGCCACCGCTTTGGCTTTCTGGCCGCCCCAGAGGTGAGGGGATCAAGGTCTTGGAGCAAACGAAATTGATTCAAGGTACCTGTGGTGTGGCCCACAGGTTAGGATTGCTGTGTGAGGCCTGGTTCTCCTCCAGTCGCTGTGAAACCACAGCTGATGCCACCTAAAAGGAAGAGACAGGCTGTTTCTGAGCAAGGTTTCAGACCATCAGGCCAAGAAGCAGTTCAAAACATCAGAAGATTCTGTCCATGATGGCATCACTATGAAGTGAAAATCAAGCAGCAAGTTTGTCATAATGGGGGTTGTTGACTGCACGCTGGTCTTCAGCCACATGGAAAACCAGAGATCAGATTCAGCAACGTCTTTGAGTTCAGAGGACACAGCAGGTATGTTCCTACCAAACTTGCTGTGCGTTCATCACTCACTTCAGGAAATGACTCATGAGCGCTAGGGAGATGCACTTTGAAGCTGCATCTAGAGCAGCCTAAAGTAATCAGGAGGTGGTAAGGCCAGTCGGGCTATTTTGTCCTTGTTAGTGGCTACATCATTGGGCCATTAGTGTGCCACCGTGTGACCCATCCAGTGGAGTGAAACCATCACAAGGTGGGGTTGACAATACTGAGATACATTTATAGGCAAGACCACAACTGAGATATGTGTGTATGTGTGCATGTGTTTTGTTTTGTTTTGCTTCTTATGAGGAGATACCTAGTGGCTCTTGAAACTGGCTGATAGTATGTTTAAAAAAAAAAAAAGATAAATATATTCCTGTCTTTCAGGTGCTAACTGGTCTTTGGATTAATTCAGAATAGATAATAATTAGGAAGCATGAAATTTGAAGACCTCAGATTTTAAAAACAGTATTATCTAACGACTCTGCTTTGTTAAAAGGCAGTTGCTCTCAACTCTGGCTGCACATAGAACCCACTAAACCCATTGCCGTCAAGTCAATTCCGACTCATAGCCACCCTATAGGACAGAGTAGAACTGCCCCATAGGGTTTCCAATAGCAGCTAATGGATTCAAACTGCCGACCTTTTGGTTAGCAGCCGAGCTCTTAACCACTGCGCCACCAGGGCTCCTAGAACCAACTAGAGAGCTTTAAACAATTCCAATGTCCAGCCCTACACTAGACCAATATGAATTAGAATCTTTGGGGGTGGGGCTGAGCATCGATATATTTTAAGAGTTGAAATCTACTTGATGGCAATGGTTGGAGATTCTAATGTGAGTCAAAGTTGATATCATTGTTTTAAGACAGTGCTTCTCAAATTTCCTATACCTACAAATCACCTGGGAATTTGTTACAAACTTCAGGTTCTGATGCAGTAGGTCTAGGCGGATCTGCAGGTCTAACGAGTTTCCAGGTGATATCCATATTGCTGGTCCTTGGATCACTCTTTGAGTAGCGGAGCCTTAAGAGATGGCTCTGAGACAAAATTTGGCCAGGTTGGAGGTTCATGCACTCAGACAATTCAATTCTCATATCCTGTTTTAAAATCACTTTCTGGAGCAATGTTTAATGTAGGGGTCCCTGAATGGTGCATATGGTGAGGTGCTCTGCTATTAACTGAAAGGTGGGAGGTTGGTGGTTCGAATCCACCCAGAGGCACCTTGGAAGAAGGCCTGACATCTATTCTGAAAGATCACAGCCATTGAAAACCTATGGAGCACAGTTCTACTCTGAAGCACATTGGGTCATCATGAGTAGGAATCAACTGGTTTTTTGTTTGTTTGTTTTAGGTGCTTAACTGAAATTTGTTTTAGATAAAATCTATCTTGCTGCACGTTTTCTCCCCCTTTTGGGTCCCTTTTTAAGGAAAAAGAGAGCTTAAAAGTCTCTAATCATACATTAAACCATTTCACAAGAGGCTGGAGGTTTAGAGTGGTAACTCCAGTTTGAAAGATAGTGCCTGCCCGGCAGATAGCAGCAGTGCCTGGTTAGCAGAAAGCAGATGTGGATAAG